CTCTTGAACAGCACGCAGCAACTAGAACCTTTTTCTCAATTGATGATCCTAATGCTGACACTGATGCTGATGATGATAACTTCCTTCTTGACTTTTGGTTTAGCATGTTCAATAATAAAAATGTCATCGACCTTGAAAAAATTCCAGAACCATCGCCAGATTTTTATAGCATGCCACCAGGAATTTATGATTTGAAATTTCCATTCTCATATTATTTTATGAAACTGATTGATAATTTTAAACCACATTATCATGAAGAAATTAGTATATTATCACAGGATCCTGAAAAAATTGATCATATAACTAAAGAACTTGATGAGGACACTCTCGAAGATTATCTTAAGGAATTAACTGAAAAAATTTGTTCAATCAATCCGTTATTAGTGACAGCACCTATAGATAGGGAGCCAGAATTGTACTTTAAAGATTTTGTTTCGGTTATTGCTTATAGTGAGCCTGGTAATGAAGATCCCGAACAACTAGAATTAATATTTAAACGAAGACTTGGAAAAACAAAAGTATTGGATCCTATTGCTTTACATGCGTATTGGTGGTCTCACGGAAATTCAATTATAGCAGAATCACAAATAGTTAAAATGTGTCCGGAACTTAAAGTTACTACAGTCAATGATATGTCAGAAATAATCGATAATGCTGTGTCAATAATGTTGAATAAAATTAAAAGTGGTGAAGACATTGAACGATGGAAACACGATGCCAATAAAATTATTTTACTTGGTAAAAAGATTTTTGCTGATTCAAAATCTCTTCAAACCTTACAATTTTATAATGAATTGTTTAGCATTAGCTCTATTCGAAAAAAAGATATTTTAAAAATTTTTTCTCTTGGACAATATTCAAATCAAGTAATCACTATTGAAATGTTAGATGCAGTTTCTGGAATTTTAAATAATCTTCAAAAATCAGAAAAAAACATATCTAAACGAAGCATAATATTAAGTTATCTTGATATCATTCCGATAGAATCTAATGTAAGAACTCAACTTTATGAACAGTTATTTTCGGATGAACCACTACCATTGATGAGCATAATTATTAAAAGAATCTTTGAAATAGAGGAAGAGCATTATAAGGAAGTGTTTTTCAAACTCATTCGAAATCCAGCGGATATTTTACAAACATCACAGAGATTATATGTGATAGATAAATCCATAGTAGATCTCACCTCCGATACAGCAACTTTATGTTGTGACATAATTCAACATGAATATTTTCATAAAGCAAATTTATCTAAATTAGCACCATATCTTCAATCAGCTTTAGAAGTAATATGTAGTGAAGTGAAATCATTAAGAAAAATTGCAGCGATAGCATTTTTAAAAGAAGTAGTTAGAATGTTTTGGGATGTAGTTTTCCAAGATATAGATCAATCTATTACGCATCAACTCATGAGATATGAACAACACGAACTTTTACAAGATATTAATAATTTCATGGAAATGGGACAACCATTGATTCATTCATTAAAAATATTCTTTCTTCGAGATTTGAGACATCGAGGCCTGTCATTTAATGATGTTAAAAGATTCTGTAAAGAAAGGTCTAACGAGATACCCTGGTATGATCATTTCTCATGGGAAACAGATGATTCATCTCGATTACCATTCAATCCGTATTGGCATTTACCCAAAAATATTCAAGCAGAAAATGCATACAATCGATTGTATCAAGCTTCAGACAATTCTCTAATGCAAAGATTTCTTAGAACAGTTCAACAAAAAGAAGATGTAGAATTAAAATTGATAGTACTTGGAATTTTCATGATAAAATTTCATTCTATGAGAGCATCACGTGAATTGAATCAGGCAGAACAACGAGCAGCAGATTTTATGGTAAAAGAAGTTAGCAAAATATATTTCCCAAAAGCTTTTTCACAAATGATTGAGGATATTATGAAAAATACACATAATTTATATAGTATTGACACTAATATTACAAGTAGTGAATTAATCATGAAATCAGTTCTTGTACATATTGTAGGATTACATGCTTCAATTTCTGAAAATACATCACCTTTATCTGCTTATTTGCAGAATGCACAAGGATGTCAATCACATTATATTATTGCATGTCAATCTGATTATGAAACTGTTTTGTTTAATGCTGTTTCTCAAGGTGGAGTAGTAAGGTATAAATGCGATTGTGGATTTAAATACGTAATTGGTGATTGTGGTAAAGCCTGGGTAAAAGCAAAATGTCCCGAATGTGGAAATGATATAGGTGGATCTAATCATGTGTTGGCTGGAGGAAATGTTCAACTTGATAAGGGAAAGTCCTCAGGTTTCAAAGCTCAAGATCAAACAGGATATATTGAGGAAGAACCGAATACTCAAGAAAATAATTCAATTCGATCAATGATTCCAGCTTCATATCGAATTATACATCTATTTGTTCACACCCTTATTGCAGCTTCAGCAACAACAGATAGTGCAACATTATTCAATAAAACTGGCAAAAATTATAGCGATATTATTCAATATTGTATGGAACATATTAGGTGTGATTGGAATATTCTTAAAAAAATTTTTGACGTCTCCGATGAGAATTTAGCATTATTATTTCATTCTATATTAAGCACTATGGCCAAAGAACAATTTTCTCAACAAAAAGCTGTGCTTAATACATCAGCAGAGAGAGAGGATTGGGAAATAGGATTTAGCGCAGCTTATATTTTACCAAAAATTCAAAATATTACTAAAACTACAGTTGAATTCAAAACAGAATTGAATAATGCAATGGGGGCAGCAAAAGTTGCTAAAAACGTATTAGAAGAAGAGATTGCACAAGAATTAGAAATAAGCCCACAATATAATAAAGATTTTCTTCCTAGATTGTGGAGAATTACCGGGAAAATTAGTTTTAATGGGTTTAATGCGTATTTCCTGAAGAATCTTGTACAAAATTCCAAAGATTTCCCATTCTTAAATGTTTATTTCAAGCATGAAAAGAATTTATCAAAGTTAAAACACTTTTATCCAATTATCAAGTTTGTTAAAATTTTACATTCAAAGTTAGCGCATAAATTAACTAGAGAAAAGGCGGAAGAATATACTTTTGATGAATTCATTCAATATGAAACGAAACATGAACATTTTGATACATTTGGATCTCTAAAGAATTCATTTATTGAATTTGAAAAGTCTTGGAACGCTATAGCCAGTAACGTTCGTAGGTATCAATGCCATGACTTTGAACCACATAAATTAACAAAAGATAATCCAATCGTATTTGGATTAGTTGAAGCCAAAGATTCTGGAATTTACTTGTGCGCAATTATTGAATACTTGATCAACTTACAAAACAATTTTTTGGAAGATGTTATTTCAATTCCTGATGAAACCTGTTTATCTCTTAAATTCTTACAAAATGCTGTACCCTGGGCAACTTCAATCCAAGACCAAAAAACTACTACTTCTAATCCTTATCACATTCCTTCTAAACAAATCAATTCTATACAACAATCTAATATCATCGATTACGAATGGGATAATAAATTACTTCGATATAGTCAACATAACCTTGAAGTTAGACATGGCGAAGACATAATTTATGATTTACAAAAAATAGAACAAGAACTTGCACAACTTTTAATTTCAGAAAAGGTATTCATAGAAGGAAATAGTGAAGATCAACTATACATGGAACAATTTCCTTATCATATGGAATTATTACATGACAGTGCAAGAATTTTAAATGAGATCAAAGGATTGATACCACAAGAACCAATTCCTATTGACAAGATTTCATTAATTTCATTTACAAATCAATTAAGAAATCAAGAATTACTTCAATCCATGGAAATTCTTTTATGCTTTATTAAAAGAATATCGACTAAAAATGGGGAAATATTGATTAAAGATTTTATTGATCAATGGATTCAGTTATCAAGTTCGATAGAAATAAATAATTTCCAGACAATTCTTAACGTAGAATTAAGATTAAAGCATATTGTAGCTTTATATGAATTTATTGAAGATCAAGTAGCTAATATTGGAATCAGTTATATCAATGATAAATTTAAAGAACCGCTTGATGAAATGATGACGAAAGAAATTTTGGATTCTATAAATATCGAACAACCAATTAACACAAACTATTCACGACAACTAACAAAAATCCCAGCCGAAGCATTTGTCACTGCACTAAAAAGATATATGCAAAGGTTCTTATGTACAGATACAAACATTAAAGTAGACGTTCAATTATATATCTACTTAAGTGAAATGAGTTTAAATTTGTGGCCTGATGAGATTAAAGAAATATTAGTAGAAGAAATGTTTCCACAATCATTGCTTGTTAAAAATACATATGAAGCTTATAAATTTGTCAAAGAAAAGATTAAGGTGAATTAATATTAAATGCTTTAAATTTTGTTTTAATTTACATAGTGTTTTAAGTCAGCTAAGTTGTGTTTATAAATTATATAATTTAGGTTTCTGCTCAAATGCAACAGCCTCAAACGGTTATCGAACCATCTTTTCAAGATTCATCCGTGAATAACCTTACTATACTTCCATCAATTCATGATAATGAAATCCTACCAAATATTTCTGTAAAACCAACAACTGACAGATCTCGTGGCCGTGGCCGTGGCCGTGGTCGAATCCGTGGGCGTAATTTTGATGCATTCTGAAATTGTTAACTTTGTTGTTATCTATTTAAAGAGTAGGTTTAAAGTTAAATTCAATTATATCAAAAATTTCATGGCTGAAACGAGTGAAAGTAGATTCAAAAATTAAAACATCACTGTATGCAATACGATTATGATGTATATTATAACGAGATAGAGAATATAAGATCAAAATTTCAAATTGGTCATAGATCAAGTTCCCCCCAGTAAAATAGAATTTTATAGATTATATCGAAATATCAAAAATAAATCGTGAGAATTTATCAGAATTTACTGATGATGAAATTAGATGTGTTTTATTTTTAACCAAGATTCCTAATTCAAATTATAATGATCCAGGAACTATTCGTCAAATTGATTATAATAGAATTAATTCTTCTTCAAATATGAGTCGTGGAAATAGTTCTCCTAGCAATGCAAGAGGTCATAGATGTTAATGATTTTTAATTTAATAAACGAATATATTCATTTTAAATATTGGATGAGTGTTTAATGTATTATGCAAATCAATACTCTAACGCATTTTAGATTATAAATGATTTTTTTTTCAAAACTTATTATTTTTTTTTTAACAATGTTCGAAACTGACAGAATATATCTTGAAGTATACAAAATAGATAATTTTACTTTTAAAGATATTTCAAATCATTATTATAAAATATTAAACATCATGATTTTAGATGTTAAAAATTATTCTCAAGAATGCTCAACATTTGTAACTTACATATATTTAAATTCCGTTATTCAAATTAGTAGAAAAGCAAATTTAATATAATCTATAAACAAAATAAATATAAAGTAACAGTTAATACTGCGTGTTCTATTGAGAAATTATTAAAACGTAGACTTCCTGAAAATTCAAATACTAATATTGAAGATTTGATTAGAGATAAAGAATACAGAGAAACAAATAAAATCGATGATAATAATATTATTAAGCGAGAAAGTTATAGAATATTATCAAAACAAAATAGTGAATTAAGAGATGAAATTATTGTTTTGAGAGATGAAAATAGTGGATTAAGAGATGAAATTAACACACTGAGAAATGAGAATAATGAATTAAGAAACCTCCTCGATGACAAAGATTGGAAAACCTTTGAGAAAAAATTTTAGATAACAAAGGAATACTATGTAATGTAATTGGAAAATCTAGTAATCATGGAATTGATATAGTTGCATTATACAGAGGATATCTAATTTTGATACAGTGTAAAAGTCAACAAAATTCTTTAGGCGAAGAAGTTGTTGCAAGAATGCATTCTACAATTAATAGAAAGGGAAAACTTAATAATCTGTTAACAAAGAACATAGCGAATTTTCATAAATCAGTATGTCCTCAGATTAAGATTGTGACTGAATTTCAAATTTCCTGATATATTAAAGAAATGATTGATTTTATTGAAATAAAATAATATTTTTTACAAATTATAAAAAAAAAAAAAAGAAATAAAATGTACATTGAAAAAGTGAGGATTGGTTCTAGGCTAGAACTCATCCGGAGGTTTGGTTACACAGAGGTTCGGGTTTAGCTAATCTACACAAATAAGCCGAGATAATCCAAATATCCAACTGAGAGGTAACCCTTGCTTGGATAAGGCTTGAAAGAGGCGAGGATTAACTTGGTCCGAGGTTAGGGTTACTTGGGTAGGTATTTGGTTTATTGAGGTTGGGTCTATGGATTGTCTTGGTCACGTTTGTCGGAAGTCACGATTTGATCACGATTTGGTTGTAACGAGGGTTCAAATTATTGGTAGGTCGATTTAACAATTACGATATTGATCAATTGTCTAATCAATTTAAAGTACTATAAAAGGGTATGCGATATAACGATTTTGGGTACTTTACTCTAACTTGAAACTGGATTTAACGAGAAAATATCCGGGGACAAGATATAAAAGCTTAACGATTTATAACAATTTAAAGGGAAACGTATTTAGGGATAAACAAACACTTCTTTTCAAGACTATTCAAGACTCAGAAGGTTTACTTTTTCGAACTCCAAGAGTTGGATTTATTGAGGGAAGACATTAGTTCTATATATACTTTTCGCTACTACATGATTTAATAATATATATAATAATAATTTTTACTAATGTTACTATTAGCCCTATTTACT